AGAAAATAAGTACCTTGTAAAGAACTAACTCCTGTTCATCTCTATCCTTTTAGAAATTAAGCTTGAACAAAGACATAGGAAAGCTTCTGAAAAAGGCCTAAGTGTCAGTGTTTAAAATAAGCAAAAAGAAGTCTTCTTATCCTCACCTAATTCACAAGAGATGAAGCTCCTGTCAAAAGTAGAGTATCACCCAAGACATTACCAGTAATTTTCTCTGTTGCACAGTGAATGAAAATGGAGTTCAGTGTTGTCAGAAAACAAAGTATTTTTAGCAGATGAAAAGTTTATTTATAAACTGCCAACATTTAACAAAAACAATATTACACTATTTTCCATTTTCTACAGAAATACAATAACTTACAGCAGTGCTTAGTCCATTTTGTCACTAATACATATAAAAACAAGTCTGCTGATAAATAAGTGAAAAAAATCTGTTTACCAACCACCACCACAAAAATTATACCTGTAAATTTTGGAAGACATCTGCATAGGATAGTTAGAACTGTAAGGGTGCTCTTTTTTATTTTGTAGGTCATTATGTACTACTAGGATATGCAAAAATTTAATTAACATGCAATACAAAATATTTGAGATAAACAAGGTAAAACTCAGTGTGCACAACTGGAAAACAGTGCCACGATGCCCTTCTGTGTTTCTAAATAGACATCAGGAAAATGCATGCTTTATATGGTGGAATTTCAAATACCCTTCACAGCAAAACCAGATGTATAGCCATGAAAATCTATACTTGGCCAGGTTTCAATGAAGAAGGACTAAAGGCATGGTCGAAGTCATCTAGTACTAGATGACAACAAATAATTGCAGAACCTCTCAAATCAACATATATAGATGCATTTTACAAAGTAGATTAGCCGTTAGGTAGTGATAAGCATTTGTGGAGATGGAACAATGATAGATGTACAGTTTATTGTTGACCATAAATGCAGACAAACACACCTGGAGAACAGCAACACTCAGACTTTTTATTAAGACATTCCTGTTCAATATTGCATCAGTTACCACACAGCACTTAAAACCTCATCAGTCATCCCTAAATATCCTGCACAAACCTCGAGCATTGGTATCTATTTGCTATTGATATGCAATACTTCCAAAAGTAGTGTTATCCAGGTTTGCATACAGGCATATTGTATGAAACTGCCACTAGAAAAGTTGAAAAATTATGAAAGCAGGGGAGAGAATGGGGAGTTTTGAGCTGGGGCAGAAGGTGGAGGAAAGAGGAAGAGAGGAGAGAATAGAGGGAGGGGAAAACAGGGAAAAAGGAAGCTTCCTTAGCTACTGATACCCTGTAGTACCCTTAGTTTTTCTCTAGCTGCCCTTTTAAACCTCTAACATTCCATAACCTTAATGTCTCCTTTTCCACAGTGCTAAGGACTATACCGTATACTAACTGTTTTTTGTTTTTTTGGTTTTTTTTTTAAACTGAAGCCATAAACACAACCATTTGTGAAAGACAAACAAGTCCCTTACAATTTATCACACTAAATGTCTCATGGCTATCAGGTGGAAGCTGATAACTCTCTCCACAGCATGGCCTGATCTCAATGAAGTTGGTGGGGATTTTGAAACTCATTTCAATAGATGTAAAGCATTCAGATCACAAACAAATAACCAGATCCTGCAAATTACTTCTATACAAGGACCCTAGTGGGTCCTTACTGAACTAATGAACACCCAAATTAAGTAAGTCAAGATTGCTCATATTGACGGTGGTCTTCCTTACATATTCTTTCTACCTAGCAGCTAGTAAGAGAAAATGAAAAAAAGAAAACAAAGTACATGAGAGAAGCTTTTTTAATCTTTGCATTTAGGATAATAAACAAACTTTCAGTGACACCCTGTGATTTCAGATGCTCATTTTTCTAATACTTGTAATGAATCACATTGTCTAAGAGGAAACAGGAAAGGTGCTAGCATTTTCAGTAAAATTGCTTCCTATATGGAAAGCTCTCAGATCCAATAATTCAAAATCAGAAGATACTCAAAATTAAGAGTAATTCTGAGAATATTTTATATGATTTATTTTTACAAAAAGAACGTGAGAAAAATACTGAAAATAGAGTACCAAAAAGACTACTTGTTGTTTGTTTCTAAACACCAATTTAAGTCACTAGTTATACTTTTCTCAGTCTCCTGTGATGCTAAAGCACTCATCCAAAACATGGCTGTCCATTTCTTTTCCAGAGGACTTGTGAAAAGTATTCCCTGGGTATTGACTGAGCACCCCCAAATTTTCCCAGCTTGCAAGACCTTACAAACTCTTTCAGTCTCAAATACTCTCTACAAGCACTTGGTGTAAACACCACCACTAATGATTTGGTTGGTGTGTGCAGGCATTTGCCTAAGTATAATGACAATCAGGCAGATTAAGACAGAGAGGAGAAGCAACAGATGTCGCTGCTTTTAGCAGACAACCTGGCACTGACCCTGCTAGACTCAGACTCCAGACAGGTCATCCATACAGAGTGTGTCAGGAGATAGCCAAATGAGGATGATTTTTGCAGAGTTCACAGGACATAATTACAGTTCCACCATCCATCCACTCACACATATATGCAGACTTATTGTGGGAAAATAAATATAGATAATTTATTCACAGATAAATTCTCTACTGATTACTAAAAAAAAAAAAAAAAAAAAAAAAAAAAAAAAAAAAAAAAAAAACACAAAAAAAAAAAAAAAAAAAAAAAAAAAAAGAAGACAATAATCCCCATCTGACAGGAATGAATCCTATGACAAAGTAAGACCAGTGAAAAACAAACTTAATGCTTTACATTCACTATCCTGTAGAACACTGGTCATTTAGCAGATTACTTTTTAGAGTCTTACTGTCCTGTCATATTTTTAGTCTTTGTGCTACAAAAATCTATGAATTATCTAATTCATCTTGAAAATCTACATAAAATTTACAATGGTCACAACTGTGCATCTGAGAAATTTTCATAGAAAAAATATTGAAAAATATTATGTTCAAAACTAGTTGTATATCCCCCTAATAAGAAAGCTATGAGAATTAAACATTTTTGCACAAATCTTGATAAAATAAACATTTCCCTACATAGAATAATACTTTAATGAACACAGTGATGTTACAAAATTAGAGATTATTGGCTCACTTGAACACTGTAGTGCTGTCACTACCTTGGATCTTAATGCTACTTCAAATCATTTAAGACATCTATTATTTTGATTATATGAAAATAATGAAATTATATGAAGTTAAGTGTGTTCCCAAGTACACCTTTCAGTTTTAAATGTAGCTACTTCAAAAAAGAAAAACTCGTACAAAAGGGAATGAACACAGTAGGTACATTTTGCTTTCTAAAAACAAATTCTAGTACCTTGTATCATTCATGTGATTTTTTTTTAACAGCAGATTAAATAAAAACACATTCCTTTTATCTACTCATTACATGCAGCCTTTCAGCAAATCTTACCATATTAATGATGTACCAATTTCATAACTTTATTCACAATGAACAGACAGGTGTATCTCATCCAAGAAAAGCTCTTTGTTTAACCATAATTATATTCCATTCAGAAAATGTCTAGTCAAGAAAATATGCACCTCATTGTGGACTCTCCCCACCTCTGTCTATACAGTAGGATGTACAGCAGGTTCCAGATGGCGCAGAAAAAGACATTTAACAAACCAGACTTCAGTTAAGAGCTCTGTTTTCCAGAATAACTCTGTTGCGTATAAGCATTTGACAGCCATCAAAAAAAATTTAGCATTCAGAATCCTAACAAAAGGTTTTTAACTATTGAATCTCAGACTTACAGTGCATCAACGCAGATGCTGTAAAAACCTTCCCCATCATTACAACATAATTTGCAATGCTAACTACTTTACTGAATACTACGAGGAAACTCAGAGAATAAAACCAACAACTGTCAGGAGCTTCCTGCAAGACTGCAACAGCAATTCAACAGAATAACAGTATGAAGCAGATGAGATAGTGAGGTCTACTGTACATTGCTGGCTACAATGTTCACATGTGGGTAGATTATAAAATACTATGCTAGACAAAAAAAAAGTAATCAAAAGCCAGTTACATTATTATCTTTTTTTCCGTTTTAATCAATAAGTATAAACTTTAAAAATGCACCCTAATTCACTATAATAGACTATGCCCTGAGAAGGAACATTATATACTAAGTAAAAGCCACTAGGAAGTATCAGGTCTGCAGTTCAAAAGTGTAATATATGGAATTCCCTGGAAGCATATTTCCTCCATTATTTAGCAACAGAGTTATTTCTTCAGAGGAAAAGACAAATGAAAATGTATGCTAGTTCTAGTTTTTCTAACTACAATTTTTTTTCCCATTCTCCTTCAAATTCTCCCTAGAAAACTTGATAGATTAGTTGATAAAGCCCTCGCTTTTCACATCTGAAAGAGGATCTAGGCTTAGCATGAGGTTCTGAAATAACTGAGCCTGATGAATTCCACTTATGGCCATCAAAGTACTTTTTGGGAGGTAGTGAGAGTTATTCAAACACAAAATTAGGCCACCTCACCAATGCTTTGCTACATTCTTCTTAGCTGGTTGGAAGAAGAGAGAAGGGGCAGAGAAGGAAGATACCTCTGAGTACACAGGGAAAATTATCATAGACAGGGACACTGAATTTCCTTAGAAACTAACTTGAACATTAAGTACATTTGAGAATTGAGTTACACCCTATTCATTGTACCTGACACTGATAAAATAGTAAGATATAGTTACACATATCTCTCATCACCCAATGAGTGCAAAGATGCATTTTGAAGTGACATCTATGTTTCAGTGTCAGTTTGTTGTTTTTTCCAAAATTGCTCTACGAGATACAATTCAGCAGTTGTGGGCTTTTCTCCCCATTTTCTAAGTGCAATGGTTCACCTCTTACTGGATTTAAAAAAAAAAAAACAAAAACAAAAACAAAAACACAAAAAAAAACCCAAAAAGCATTCTTCCCTTACAAAAGACAAAACAAAACTAAGTAAACAACTTCTCCAAAAATTTAATAATCAAATCTCTAAAAACTCACAATTTAAATTATCCTCTGGTACTCACATTTTGCTCAGTGTATTATGTGTCCTTGAAAAAAGTATGCTTTTCGAGTCTGGTTATGCAGACAAACCTTTCCAAAACCCTTTCTTTCTGTTCATCAATATTACACAGTACTGTTTAAAAAATTCATTAACTATCTACTTAGGAAAAAAAAAATCACTCCCATCCATAAAGTCTAGCTACACATTCTAACTAAGCAGCACTAGAATAAAACTGGAAATGCCAGAAACTTTCATTATAAGACAAAAAGCTAAGCTTTCTCACTATATTATCACTTTGCTTATTTGTTTTAAAGCAAATTACATACAAGGTAATTCATCAAATAGTATAAACTGACAAGCTACTTTATCCCCTATTTAAATGACACATGGATTTTGTTGTATAAAGAATATGTAAGCAGTCAATAAAACACAAATATGCAGACATGAGTACATTAAGAATATTAATCAAAGCAGCTATAACAATGCATTCCAATGACTTCATACAAGTTATTGTAGCTGTCTTTAATGCTTCATGTTTCTCCAATAGCTGTAACACACAAGACAAACAATGTCAGTGAAATAACAGTAACTGTATTTAGCAGCTGAGAATTTACCACTTTAAAATGTGGTTCCTTCTATACCAAATTCTGTAGTTTTAAATTACATTTGTTCCTCAAAACCCTTTGTTTCTAGTACAAATTTCTACAAAGACTAATCCAGTCAACAAAATGAATAAATTCAAATGATACATACTACAAAATTAGGAAAGAAGCTGAATTTTACATTAAGATGTTTAAAGATGTACAATTTGATTTTATAATTGAAGAAACTTCAGAGAGTGAGAACCTTGAATTCTGCAGCTTCTGCTGCACATTTTCTCTGCAGGAATGTTCACTGACTAATTTATTAGTCTTTGATCTCTGAAACACAAAACAGCTGAAATGCCTTATGTAAAGTAGCTGCGCTCAGGACGTTAGCTACCAGTGGCCTAAAGCCACTTTTTCTTTCAAGCAGTGCCCAAATGGTACCCTGCAGTAACACCAAGTGGTTAGACAGGTATGCTGCAAAGATCATAGTTTCAGAACTTCACATCGGTTTTGAACTTAATACAGTATATTAGAAGTACCTCTTCAATCAATTCATGCATGAGGCTTCAGGACATTGACACTTCAAAGCAATTTAGATATTATTTTCCTTTTTAATATAATTTATATAGTTACTGCTAAAAACTTAAAGCTCAAATTTAACAACTTACTGTTTGCATTTCCTTCAAACAGAAATAAATTACTTGTTTCAATTTCACTGTTTTGTTTTCAGGTCTGCAAACATTTCTAAATGTAACTATTCTAGCAGGATTTAAAAAAAAAAGTGTGGGGGAATATTTCCATGAGGTGCAGACTTCAAAAACCCACACTTATGAGTTACACTACAGCCATCAGTGTTTTACAAAACCAGTAAGAATATCAGCACCATCTCTAATCAGAGTTCTCAGAACATATTCCAAGTACTAAAATTCAATGCAACTCTATTCAGTTATATAGGACAAAATCTTGTCATCCTGCAAGAATGCATCACTTGTGCTGACTTGAATAGCAACTCTACACATGTATATGAGGGCACCTGCTTAAATGTTAATGATGCCAAGTTCAAAAACACAGAACTTCCACAGTATAGCTCTGAGAATGCCAACTAAGATTCCAGATTATAGTGTGGAAGAAGTTTCAAGTCAGATTCTAATAATAATAGTATTTCCTTTTGAAAGCCTCGGTCTTTCCAGCGCAAGAAGAGAGAATCTCTTCCCTTCCACAGGTCAAGAAACGTTTCCTATCATGCTCCCACTTCTGAGATTGCTCCTAGCACTAATATTTTTCTCATAAACAGATAAATTTTGCCAAGGTAAACAGAACACACAAATAACATTACTAAGTAATTTAAGACTAAGAACCTGACCTTTAGTACACTGCCCCCTTGACTTCACACTTTTCAGGTTCATATGAGTCATTAATGAGATACTGTTAATCAAGCCAACCCAGGCTACTACATGTACTTTAATGCATCATCTGTGTCCACTAAACATCAGGTCTCTTGGGATGTGTAAAAGTTCTCGCTCAAGTTAAGATTTTAAGTTCAGAATCCTGTTGGTACTTGAACCCACCCATTTGTCAGTGATCACTGAGGCTACATCTTATGACAAAATCGTACTCTCAAGCCAATTTCACAGCTCCTTTAGACAACAATTATGTTCTTCTGCAACTAAAACCATCAGCCAAAACACCACAGCACCTCATAGCACCTCAAAGCTAATGACCATGTAAGACATATACCTACATATACAATAAGATACCTATGGAGAGGCAGGTGCCCTCTGAAACAAAGCTTTGACATGGAGATGCTCAAGCCTAGAATAGTCTTATCTATGTACTGTAAACAGAACAGTGTGCTTTTAGAAATGTCATTTTTAGCTACTTTGTGCCTGAAATGAATAATGAACATACTCTCAAAGACTTGCAGGTGGTCTGTTTTCATTTTGAAATGCAAGAGTAAACTCCATTAATCTAACTACTTAGAAGTGTAGGAACTTCATATTTTGAGTGCTTTTTTGATTCAAAGTGATACCTTTTGAGCAGGCTACCTGTGTTTTTTCCTCCCTCATTGTTTCTCTCTCTGCCCAACAGAAACAGTATCTTTAAACTTATGGTCAAGAGGTATTTGGGGCAGAAGATAAATAAAGAAATTATGGCAAGGACACTAACTTGAAAATCTAATCCCCCTCAGAAAACAGTTTGCTTTTAAAAGAGGTGATGTCACTATATAGACTTCTACTGTAGAACCTTTTCCTTGGATCTGTGTACCAGCACAATTCTACTAATGTAAAAAAATCCCTTTTACAGACAAATTCTAAGGAAATGACAAAATACACCATTCATAATTGATTTCAAATTCCCTTAAAATTTACAGTTATGTAAACAGAGATGTACGGTTGGAGTAGAGCTCTTCTTTAAGAATAAAATTGGAAAAAAAAAAATCCACACCAACAAAGACTGAAGCTCTTAAAAAAAAAAAAAAAAAACCAGAAGGGAAGGGTTAGCTTCCTCCTTGCTGTCACTGTTTTTATTAACTGTATAGTCTCAATCATCAGTTGGAAGAGCTACTTTTTACTCCATCCAATATTGGACTTGTAGGGTCTTGATGAAGTACAAGTTAACAATGTGTAATTTGGCAGGGTGAGAATCCGTAGTGTAAAAAAGATATTCAGAAATGCGTATCAAGTGTGATTAAATCTCCATTGTTGAGATAAAATAAACAAATAAACACCAAGAGATGAAAGTAGCCTGTTTTAAGAGAACAATTCACAAATACAGCCAAATATAGCTCTGACTGTGGGCGAACATGTGGTTGAACTCTTTTCTGCCACATTTTGCTGTATTTGCTTATCAAGATTTCAACCTTATAGAACTTCCTATTAAGCTAACATGACAATTAATAAGCAAACAAAAACCAAAACAGTAAAAGGTATCACAGTTCCAAAACTGTTACTGAAGCCCTCAGAAACACTGTATTATGGTGCTCTACCAAAGACTGCTATAAAAAAAAAATAGCACTCATCAAATATAGTCTGGATCCAATAAGGTATTAGCATGATGCCATGGAGGAACAAACTGGGAACAAGTTTAGCTGATACTGATAGATTCTCCCATTTTTTCAGAAACTCTGTTTCACAAGCATTTCAAACTTTTTTCTTTTACCTCTTTTTTTTTTATAGTCAAATGATTCAGAGACCAACTCAATGCAGAAGTTAAAAAAAAAAGATGATTACATGGTAGGAAGCTCGTAAGAGTGATTTCTTTGAGAGATTAAGTAACAAAATCATTTGCTTAATAAAAATGTATGCCAGTTCTTTAATAAAGTGACAGATGTCTACTCTGAAATTTAGCTTTAGGACTGACCATCAAAAGAGAGAGAAACACAGAGTTAGCTAACACTTTCAACCAAGACATGCATTTGCGTCTGAAAAGTGAATATTGCACTAAGAGAAGAACCCTGAAAGCTTTCAACATTTCCTTCACTGACCTAAAAAAGTAACTAGCCATTTTCTATAAGCAGTAGCAAACCTGGCTTGGTCCACATCCCTACAAGTTGATAATACTTTATCAACAAACCGATATTCCATTTCTGGACCAAGAGAGTCCTGCACAGGAGCACGCTTCAGGCGTTTTGTTTCTTGGGTATAACCTTGTTTGCTGCTGGATTCATTCAAACCATCAACATCCATAGCTTGTGCCATGTGACTTGTTGCAGGACTGTGATGGGAATTACTCAGACTTTCATCACTGCTGTCCACAGATGATACCGCTGTACTCATGAGAGGAAGTTTGTTGCTTAAGTGCCGCTGAAGGTAGAATACACACCTTCTTCAAAAAAAAAGAAAAGAAAAAAAAAATAAAGTCATGCACTGAAAATAACTTGCTGTTGCTGCTGAAGTGTTTCAATCCATTTATCATCCCACCAGATTTCCCTCACAGACACAAAATCTGCTGTCTCTGGGCACAGTACTAGAAAGTGCTCCATATCACCTTGGCAAATCTCCTGCTACCTAGTCAGGAACCTGCACCCAGCTAGTAAAGCAAACATTTTCTGCACCCAATCTTCTGTCGACATTTTGTTCATTTTTTGTTGTTTCAATATTTAAAGTATAAGGAGGCTTATTACTAGCATCTTGTGTCTCTTGCACAAATTATAGAGACAAGCAGACCTTACACTGAAGATATTTAAGCCAAATCAAATTTCCCACACAATAGCTCTGATTATGCTCTTGAATATTTTCCAAAGGCTTAATACATAGCACCTTAAAAATCTTTCATTGAGTGGTACTTCCTAAAACCAGAACAATTTGCTTGGAAATACCATGTGAAGTATCATCCACAAATCAAAAGGAAACTCTTTTGACCAAGTCCTCTTACCTATGACACCACAAAGTTTCATGCCCTGGGTAATTATCAATCAGTTCACTGCAGAGTTCCATCTCTTCATCTAAATAGTGGGGAAGATCCACGCTTTGCTCCTCTGCACATGCAGCTTCTGTCCCTGCACTCTCTTCGTCCTTCTGAAGGCTAGGGTTTTGTTCATTTACCACTTGATTCTGTACCTGTATGTTTTTGTCAGTCACTGTTCTGCGTATCAAGGAACTGAGTAAGAACTGGCGGTAATGAAATCCACTATGGTCCGAGACATGCATGGATACCCAATATTTAGTGGATGAAAGTTCATCAAGGAGAACCTGAAACAAAATGCAGGGACAGTTATCAACCAGTATAAAGGAGGAACTTACCACTACTGCTTTTGTATTAAGGCAACCTCTTCTTTGGGGATTTCACTGTAGTAATGGTTTAAGAATACACAGAAAGAAGAATTATTACTGAGCCTTTTCTACTACATGCTGAAAAGCATCTTGGCATCCCTGCAGAAAACAAATAAATATTTCTTCCAAACTGTGACAAGGCGGGTTTTTCAGAAACCAACCCACATGCTGACTGGGAAAAAAACCCCAGACCACTTCTGATATGAAATAAGCAGTGGTTTAAGAACTTCAAAATGGATAGCAATCAATACTATTTAGAGGAGGCACAAACTACACTGCTATTAGCTTTAAGAATTTTACTTTCTACCCTGTGGATTGTGGGTGTCAGAAAGTAAGTCAGTTGCTTAAAAGGAAAAAAACCCAAACTTAATTTGCACCTTGATTTTCCAGGAGAAAATGGCAGCCATAACCAACTGTAGCTCTGTTTTTAACACTTCTGGCTCCTGTGAATTGTCTCTTAATTCTGAGTGCTTTTAAACTTTCAAAATTAATTTCTGGAGAGCAATGCATGTTTGGCTCCCAGAAAAAGCTTTTACTATGCTTTGCTTTCTCTGTTAGAGCCACTGGTTTGGTTTTTTTCACAGGCCTTAACCTCCTTCCTCATACTGCTTCTCCTCTGGAGCTTACACTATCCAAAGAGATAAAAACTACCCTTTTCACTTACTTCTAAAGACTTTTGGAAGTAATCTTAATAACCTTATGATATACTCTTGCTTTTAACCTCTTCTCCTAAACTATGTACATCACTTAGCAGGACCAGGTGATTCAAACAACTTTCATAGGTAGAAGTCTTTCTTTCAGATACTGCAACACAAAAGCCACACCTTCCCCCAGAGAAAATCATGGAAACACACAAGACTAGCTATACAGCTTTTTTGAGGGCATCCATTCTAAAATAAATTGGAGCAAATACAATGAAAACAGTGTCTTCTACCCTAGATAGTCATCATATTTTTCTAAATCTTGCCAAAAGATACCAGCATCACCTTCCTTTTAGAGATCAGCAAACTAAAGTGCAGTATTAAATAAGAGTCCACAAACAGGGTTCTTAAGGGGGCTAAAACTCCATGTCCAAATCTGCACTTTAAACCATAAGATCAGCTTTTCCTTTCTTCATAGAATTAAGCTTAGTATTTTGAACTTTTGAACTTCAAAATTTTTAAGTATATTAAGAACAACATAAGGCTCAGAAAAATCAGATCAGCCTTTATTCAACTGTAATTGATACTACACACATTTATATTCAACTGTGACCTTGGAAGAATCTGAAATATTTATAACCTACAAATTTACAGGGGAACATCTTAATTACACATTTTAACTCCCTGTACAAAGGGAACAAAATTATTCCCAGCATCACTCCTTACCTGAACCAGAACACCTCTTTTAAAAAAGCAACACAGAAGATTGCCATTAAAACTTCTTCAGATCTACAAAAAACAGCCTCGTACCTAGGAACCTCAAAGTACCAGTGGAAGATGCTTCTAACAACTGGAAGTAAAACAAAAAGCCAGCTAATGTCTGAATGCTAAGAGGTTTCTTCTTACAAAGCCAGTTTTCTCAATTTCCATCTCTATCAGAACAAGCCCTTTGCCACTGTCGTGTGAAGAGAGAAGAAACTATATGAAAATACTTCCCTTCCCTTTCTTGACAACTTCTTGTCTATCTCTGGTAGTGAGCTGACTACTATGGAACTGGCAGCCTCCTCCAGAATATGACATGAGCACTCACTGACCTTTGTCTCAATCTCTGGGTCTGCATTCCCTCTTACACTCTCCTTGACCATGTGCTTGCTTGTTTTAGAGTGCTTTTCCAGCCAATAAACTGACCTGAAACCTCCTCCCTGGTCTGGGCACCGAGGAAATGAAAAGGAACTGGAGAAACAAACTTTTAAGGATAACCAAATAAATATAGCACTCACAGAAACTAGCACTTTTGAAGACCCTGTCATCTAAGAAAAAGCTAAGGCATTGCTGGGGATGGCTACAAGAAAAACTACTTTGTGTCTCATAAACATGCTGTCCATGTTGTCTTCTGGTCATCACACAAGAGAAGTGTTGCCTCATGACAATTACCCTACTATTTGCTTGTTTGTTTTACTGTAGAATCTGATCAGTCAATCTCCATCCTTTAATTATGAAATTAAGTATTCCAATCTAAAGAAAACAAAAAAAGTTTGTCAATCCTTGCTTAACTACACCTTATTTTTCTATCTGCATCATTTCACTGAAGCAACACAGTGTGTATGAATTTTAAGACGATACCCCTACTCTCCTACCCCAGTTTTCTAACTAATTATGCACAAAGTATAGTAGGTATCTGAAATTCATGATCTAACCCCACTAACTGTACCGGCATGTGAAAAAGTTTAAATCAGGCTTTCCACGGCAAGTACTCCAATGCCAGAATTAATATATTAGTTTCAAACAATCTATTCTTGACAAATCCTTGATCTATGTTAATGAACAATTTTAAAAACTACATCAACTTGCTAATGCCATTCAAATTCTGCAGCTAGAACAAACTGAAACTCTTATATTGAAAGAAGATAATGTTTTTGACTGTCTAGTGTAAGAAAGAAGAAACATCTATATCCTTTGAACAATTTTCCTACTGGGCCAAAACTTTCTTCTCTAGCATTTTAAATCTTTTTCCAGAGCTTGAGCTGAGATTCAGTCTGCAGTAGCATTATGATTATCAAATCAAAGGGAAAAGAATAACCAAAACGCCATAACCCAGCCTACCTCCTGAAATCCTTCAAAGCAGGTTGACAGCTTTGTTAATCATAAACTCATTTTGACAAGTCATATTTAAATGATAATACAACATACAATTAATGTTTCTGGGCCTCTGCTTACTTGTACACTTCAAACTACAAGCAAAATTTTATTACAGCAGAAATATAGCCCTAATTAATACAAGTACTCCTTAATTTCAGGCAACCTTGCAAGAACTAAATGGCCATAGAATCAGTGACTGTTTTATCTGTCAATTTTTCATCATGGTTCCAGTCTTACATCTTGTTGATATTTATCATACTTTTCAGGTATTTAAATAGAGAAATTGCTGAAGGTGTTGCATGAGACATCAAGCAAGTAAAAAACCTCCAAAGAATGGAAAAGCCAAGGCAAAGCTGGACAGGACTTGGCAAGAGGTGCAAAAAATAACAAGAAGGGACTGTGTAAGTACACAGGTCACAAAAAAAGACCGAGAGTGTACGCTCCCTAATAAACAAGAATTGATGGCAACTGACATGGAAAAACATGAAATACTGTTTGTTGTCTCAGTCTTCACTGGCAATCAAACCTCCCTCCCACTTCTCTCTAGTCCCTGATCCTCTAGACTCTTGTGCGGGAAGCTAAGTCCCTCCCACTATAAGCAAAGAGCAGGTTCAGAACCACTTGAGAAAGCTGAACAGCCACAAGTCTATGGCATCTGAAGGTCCACATTATAGAGTTCTGAGACAACTGGCTCACGCTACCAAACCACTGTCCACTGTCCCTGAAGCCATGGCAGTTAGGGGAGGTCCCCAGTGACTGGAAAAAGGGAAACACTGCTCTCATTTTTAAAACTGGAGAGAAGAGGTGAAAAAGGAAGACCCAGGGAACTGGAGACCAGTAAGCCCCACCTCTGTAGCTGGCAAGATCATGGTGCAGATCCTTCCAGAAGACACGTTAAGGCACCTACGAGACAAGGAGGTGACACGAGACAGCCAGCAATCCTGCCTGACCCATCTGGTGGCCTTCTATGACAGAGTGACAGCAGTGGTCAATAAGAGAAGACCAACAGTTGTCATCAAGCTAGACGTGGAAGGCATTCAATATGGTTCCCACATGACATCCTTATGTCCAAATTTGTGACAGACAGAAGGTCCATAAAGTGGGTAAGGAACTGGCTGGATGGATGCAGCCAGAGAGGAGTGGTCAACAGCTCTATGTCCAGGTGGAGACTGGTGATGAGCCCCTCAGGCCTCTGTCTTGGGACTGCTCCACTGTCCCCTCCATTGAAGTATTCAAGGCTGGGCTGGTTGGGCTCCTGAGCAACCTGATCTAATTAGTGGCATCCTTACAAATTGCAGAGTGGTTGGAATGAGATGGGGATCCCTCCCAAGCCAAACCAGTCTGTAATTCTATGAACCTGAATGTTTTTGTGAAAATCTCTAATGCCTGCATTTCCCTTGTTCTCCTTCTTATTTGCTTTTTTACTTGCATCAAATCTTGCAAATAATCACTGTATAATTTGACCTCATAAAGTTACCTAATTTTATCACGAGTTTCTTGCTGTCTTTTACATTCCACACCTTTTCCTAAGTTTCCTGTATCCCAAACAGCTTCTACTAAGCCCTCTGATGAGGTGCATTGGTGGCATCATAAAAAAATCTAAAGCTAACACAGACACTTCCCAACAGGGTTAACACATTGGTGGAGGAACAACACTACCAGTGAAATTTGCCAGAGGTAACAGAAACCAGATGGACAACTCTAGACAAAAGTATCACTTCCATAATCTTCATTCCAAAAAAAGTAGATCAGCAGGGGAAGTGAGATGGCAGACAAAGTAAACAGACTTTAGAATGGTCAAACAAATTTATAACTCTACATTCACAGGCATGTCTGTCATTTGTCACAAGAAGTACTCACAACTGATAATAGATAAACTCACCACAATAATTCCAGTTCTGCAAAGAGTTATTTCTATTACAATGTAATTATTTTTCTTTAATTAAATTGGTACGGAATAGCAAGTACAAAAAGCACTCAAGGTGTAATCCTGATCCTCAGACTACTGTTAGCAGTATAGTGGGCACAGAGCTGTTTAGAACTTGTTTTAAGGCATAAAATGACTTGTATTTTCTTTAATAGTGCTAACTCCCTTCACCTTTTAATAACCTCTTGAAGATATCAAAGTTCCTGTTTTCTGTTAATATAGACTTCTAACCCTAATTTCTAACCTCCAATCTATATGAATCCAGCAATTCTTCTGAAAACTACCTTTTCATATAAACTTGCTAGGCAGACGAGTCCAAATTTTGCCCTGTCTCTGCAACAGACATAAAAATAATGGCTATATTGACTCAACAGTCTCCAGTAAATTCCTCCCTTGCAACCTTATGCGGCAAAATGCAGAAGCTGCTTTAAAAGTGAGTGGTATGTCACTCCTAATACTCACAAAGAATTCACTTAACCACTCAGAAAACATGGTATTACAAAACTGCCTACATAATTTCAGATCACATCACATTAACTAATTTAATTTGCTGCAGGTCTTGATGTTAGACGCAAAACATTCAACACCGCATAAAGTGTTCCTGCTGTCCCTGAAATGGTTTAATCAGCTCCCAGTGTAAATACTGTCAAAAAATACTGCTGAAACTGAAGAAATTAGTTACAAGTACTACTATGCTTTCTCCAAAATTCCTTCTGTCTTTACTTGGTCCTTC